TTGGAAAATAATATTTAATGCAATGGGAATTTGGCCATCACATACTTTTATTTTTTTTAATGTTTATTTATTTATTTTGAGAGAGAGAGAGAGAAAGTGGAGGAGAGGCAGAGAAAGAGGAGGAGAGAGAGAGAAGGAGAGTGAGAATTCCAAGCAGGCTCCGCACTGTCAGTGCAGAGCCCGACCCGACGCGGGGCTTGATCTCACAAACTGTGAGACCGTGACCTGAGCCAAAATCAAGAGTCAGACACCCAACCGTTGACTGAGCCACACAGGCAGCTCTATCACACACTTTTAAATGAGAACATTTAGTCCCAAAGTTTATGAAATGATTTCCTGATTGCTTAAAAAGAAAAAGTAGAGAGGGGCGCCTGGGGGGCTCTGTCGGTTGAGTGACCAACTTTAGCTCAGGTCATGATCTTTGGGTTCGCGGGTTCGAGCCCCGCGTCGGGCTCTGTGCTGACAGCTCGGAGCCTGGAGCCTGCTTCGGAGTCTGTGTCTCCCTCTCCCTCTGCCCCTCCCCCACTCGCACTCTGTCTCTCTCCCTCCCTCTCTCTCTCTCTCTCAAAATAAGTAAACATTACAAAAAACTTTACAAAAAAGAAAAAGTAGAGAAATGTAGATTATAACTGGGTCCCAGCTGAATTCATCCTGGGTTTGCTCATAAGGGGATCTCGCTCGAAGAACAGAACTTGGTTCTGGGACCAAAGAGCAGCCAACAAATTACATCTTTTCAGTTACAGTGGCATCGTCTCTGTCTCTGAATCCCTCACAAATGCGTGTTTCTTCGTCAACTACTCTCCCAAGTGCATCAGATAAGTGGACTTCTCTGTTTCACTTTTAAAATACGAAACTGGGCTGCCCTTGACTGCCATCAAATGCACCCTCCTCAGCCTGGACACACCCTTCATCAGGCGCCGCATTCAGCAGGATTCAGTAAAAGAGGCAGACGTCCTGGGGCAGCCACTGGTCAGCAGCCGCTTGGCTTTTGGTCTTAGAAATCCCTCCCGAGAAATTAAGGGCCATCTCTCCAGGTCACACGTCGTAGCAGGGAGCTGTTCGCATGCTCGCCTATCAGGATCTTGCCCTGTCACACCTTGCCCCAGAAGTTTCTCTTCCGCCCCTAGGAAAGACATTTAGGAAGCTGGTCACATCTGTCCCCTTGGCTGGTGGCGTGGGAGAGCTCCTTCTCCCCCGGTTCTGTCCGGGGAAGTTGAACAGCCTGTGCTTGGTACCCATTCTTGATGACGTTGTTGGCTGTGGGCACTGCTTAGATTAGAAGCCTAGTAGAGGTTAGGGTTTGCGGGCACGTGGAGTTGACGCTGTTACATCTGCAAAACACACAAATTCAAAAACATGAAGTGACTGTCCTAAAAACCCGTGGGACACACCTTCCCACCCCCTCGCCGGTATATCTTGTTTGTCACTGCTTTTCGGAGCGGAAAATCCACCGGCTCCCCAGCACCGGGACCGTCCGTCCCCTGCAGAGACCGACTGTTGGCCAAGGGTTCACCGCCGAAAGGGGAAAAGACCTCCTGATAACCCTGATGGGCTCGTCCGTCGCCAACAGAAGTTTGACAACATTTAAACAATCGCAGAGAGAGCCGGAGTCTGCCAACAAAAGTTGGAAAAGTTGCGAAACTGGCCCCGTGGAAAGTTTTGAAACCTACAGAGGCTCAATCAGACTCCATTGTGGATTTTGCTCAACAAATGTCCTCACTATAAAAATGACGTGAAATAGAAATCCGAGCCTGCGCACAAATTCGAGTTTTGTATTGTTCTTTTCTTTGCATTCACGTGTTATTGAGATTGAGGCCCCCGCAAATACTGGGTAATATAATATAATATTGTAATAGAATATAATGCCTGCGCCCCTTTGGGGAGGGTAATCAGGGTGTTGCTTCAAGTACTCACTTTTGTAATACAAATACTTTACGGCTGATGAGTATTTCAGCTTTCATCCATCACTGGGATATTAGAATAAATCTGGCAATCAGATCTGCTGGAGAGAGGGAGATGTGGTATGCAGAAAGGCAGGAGCAGAGAGAGAAGAGGGGCATCTTTGCCTCCAGAGGCTTCCCACTTGGGCGTCTTCAGACCAAAACCCCTTTCCCGCCCTTCCTTCTTTTCTATTTTCTTCCTTTTTAAAGCTTTAGGGGGCGCCTGGGTGGCACAGTCGGTTAAGCGTCCGGCTTCAGCCAGGTCACCATCTCGCGGTCCGTGAGTTCGAGCCCCGCGTCAGGCTCTGGGCTGATGGCTCAGAGCCTGGAGCCTGTTTCCGATTCTGTGTCTCCCTCTCTCTCTGCCCCTCCCCCGTTCATGCTCTGTCTCTCTCTGTCCCAAAAATAAATAAAAACGTTGAAAAAAATAAATAAATAAAATAAAATATTAAAAAAAAAAAAGCTTTAGTATTTCTTGCCTTGTATTGACTTCTTTTTAACACCTCTTTTTTTTTTTTTTTTTGAGTCCCCTTGCAGTCCCTAGCGGAGGAGGGGGGAGGAGGGAAGGGCGGGGGACACCTCCGTCCTCTCCTGAAAATGTACCCATACAACAGGGTCCTCAGAAAACCTGGCGAAAATGGAAGATCAAGCTAAACGCAAATGCAGAAAAAAAGGGAAGAAGGGGGGGTGTTTGGGCAGAAAGCCAGATTTGCATCATTTGAGCGATTTGGGAAGGGAAGCATGAGCCACCCGCCCTCACTGCCCTCTGGTAACCCTCCTGCCCCAGCTTCTTCCCTCCACAGGAGGGGCCTTCATAGGAGGGGCCGCAGCAAGGGTACCTGCCCCAGGGTCTCGTGTAGCCCTCAGAGACGCCAGGCAGGGCTTCAGGAAACTTCCAGAGACCGTGGGGAATGCCGAGGTGCCTGGGTGGCTCAGTCAGTTAAGCACCTGACGTGATTTCGGCTCAGGTCGTGATCTTACGGTTCCCGGGTGCTGGCCCCGAGCCCGGCTCTGCACTGACAGTGTGGCGCCCGATGGTGATTCCCTCTCTCTCTTTCTTTCTCTCTCTCTCTCTCTGCCCCTCCCTCCTCCAAAATAAATAAACATTAAAAAAAAGAATGTGGCCGCTGGGGGGGTGCGCCCGCGTGTCTCAGTCAGTTGAGCGTCCAACTTTGGCTCAGGTTGTGATCTCACAGTTGGGGAGTTCGAGCCCCGCATCAGGCTTGGGGCAGTCAGCCTGTCAGCTCGAAGCCTGCTTCAGATCCTCTGTCCAACTCTCTCTCTGCTCCTCCCCGTCCCCCCCCCCCCCCCCCCCCTGTGCTCTCTCTGTCTCAAAAACAAAATAAAGAAGAGGTTTTTTAAAAAAAGAAAAAAAGAAGACGTGGGGAATGTTGCCTTGCATAGGTGGTACTTCCCTCCTCCTTCCCCTCCCTCCTCCCTTCCGTCCTCCTGCCCTCCCCCACCCAGGGCAGGTCCAGTAATGAAGATTCAGTGGAAACAGACCTTCTATGATTCCGTGCGTTGTCTTTCACCACAAATCACAGTACTGGAAAGCTAGACAGCGGCGTAGGGATCACCTTGACCAACCTCCCTCTTTTTACACCTGCATCCCCCCCGCTCCAACCCCACGTAAAAGAGAAGAACAAAAAAATAAAATGACAGACTATTTAGGACTGAATTTAACTCGTCTTCCTGCCAGCGGCTCTCACAATCCCGCGCTGTAGGCACAAAAGGCTGAACCAGGACTTGGCTAACGGTGGAGACAATTAGCATTTGTTACTTGTTTTAACGAGCCAAGTGGATAATTGTTTCTGGCCAGAGCCGCCGGGGACGCGACCAGTTGTCTGCGTTCCTAATTTCTGGGCTCAAGCTCTTCCGGGGTGGCAAGCCTGGAATTGATGAGGTGTCCCGTCCGCTGCCCAAACCCTCCGGGGACACCAGACCTGAGACCCGCGGTCGCCCCCGCTTCCTTTTCGTGGTGACCCACTGGGTGCTCCAGCTCCCAGGGGCGGGGCCTGTGGCGCAGGTGCCTGGGGAGCACTCTTCCCCCCCCCCCCACCCCGGCCCCCCCAGGTCCGGCTCCGCTGACACTGCGGGTCCTCAAGCCAGGCCCGCTCCCGGCACCTCTCCGGGGCCAGAGGCCTGAGTCCTGAGTCTCTCCTGCTCGTCTGCATTCAGAGTAAGATGTTCGATGGCATTTTCTCGGAGCCTCTCGAGCTGTCTGACACCCAGAGTGTTGACTGAATTCAGTTCTTGGGTCTCTGCACGGGGGGGTGGGGGTGGGGAGTGCGCCCCCCTCCCCCCATGGATTTGAAGAGGCGGGCAGCCTCACTGGCCGTCCTGGGGAAGTCCTTACTGCCAGCACCCCGATGTTTCTGGATAAAGTTTGGTAAACATCATACATTCTGTGTTGGTCTGTGTTGAGAAAACTGAGAGGGTTCAGAACGTGCCTCCCCCCAAAAAGGATGACATTTTGGCATGTGGATTATTATTTTGAGGCCAAGGCGGGGGGGGGGGGGGGGAGAAAACCAGAAGGCACAAGAAAAGCTCTTTACCTCCCCCGAACTCCCTAAAATAAAGTCTGTACTTACCCTTTTGCAGAGGAAATTTACATTTGTAGAGGAAGAGAGCTCCCAGCCGGCATCTTTCATGGCAGAGGCCCTCCCGTGCACAACAAGGCCGCTGGGATTTACCAGCTATTTGCACTTCCTTCCCTCGCCCACCGCTTAATTTCCCTCCTTCCACGCCCACCCCCCCACCCCCCCCACCAAGCCCGACCCCCCTCCCTTTCCTGCCTTCAGGATGGCGTGTAACTCTCCGCCAGCCGAGAGTCACCTTGGGTCCCCTATTTTTGTGAGCCCCGTGGGCACGTACATAATTAAAGCTGGGGGGCTTTCCCCTTATTAAACCGTCTTATGGCAACTTAATTCTCAGACCGGCCCCCCCCCCCCTGCAGTTTCCGGGAAGCCAAAAGTGCCAAGTCCTTCTTATTAAGTAAGAAGTCGGATTATTCGTTTAGGCCAAACATTGAGAAAAGATTTGCTACGAACCACGTCAAACTCCTGAACTGTTTTTAAAAGGTCGGCTGGAGGATAGAGGAGTCAGGCGGGTGCGCACGCGCGTGTGAGAACGAGGAACCGGGATTTCGGGTGCACAGGGGCTCCGCCGTTTGCCCGTGTCGCTAAATCTGCCCTCGTGACTTCATCTGGTTCCCCTTTCCTTCTCGACCGTAGCCTGGAAGCGATGGAGAAACACGAAGGGAGGCTCACGGCAGTGTCTGTGATTAGTTCCCCCAACCCTCTGCACTTTTCTGGCACACCCATCTCCTGGAGATAGTGGAAACGAGACAAAGGGGTCAGGGAGGGACAAACTTTTGGAAACAACTCCTATCCTGACGGGTACGTTGCTGCAGTGTCTTCCTGAACTCTCCGGGACCCCTTGGATACAGGTGTTAACATTCTCTTTTTAGAGGTGCGGGGTCTGAGGATCAGAGAGGTTAAGTCATCTGTCCGAGGTCACACAGCTAGTAGGTAGTTGATACAGGACTTGAATCGATGCAGGTGGATGCCTTTATAGACAAGCAGGCCTCCGCCTACCCCCAAACGGTGACCCGATGTCAGAGGGACGGACCTTTGGTCCTTCTACCGTTCTCTCAACCTCCGAGGGGCTCCCCTCTCAGGGTCTCTGCCGTTTAAGTGCCCAGGGGGTCTGCGGGAGCTGCTTTGGTTCCATTCCTCAGACACACTGATGCAATTGCAACTTCAGCTGGGTAAGCCCTCTAGTCGCACCAAGCATTTCGCGGGTGGAGCAACTTGACTAACAGGTTTGAGGGTGGAATCAGGAGCCCACAAGCCACAGCTCTTTCCTCCTCCACCCCACCCGGCACCCCCGCGCCCCCCGCCCCTCGAAACCCATGCACCAGGCTCCGGATCCAGGCACTTTGCCCACAATGGAGATGAGAACGTTCCAGATCTTCCCTTGCTGGGCTCCCAAACAGCCTCACCAGAGTAAAAACTGCCCTGTCCTCGAGAAAAGCAACTAACGGGCTATCTGTCCAAACTGGCAAGGGCGCTGTCATCTGCACCCTGCGGCAATAAGGCGCTGACCTTCCCGGGACCGGCCGATCCGACCGGAAGTCAGGGAGCGATTGGCTTGGTGGAGAAAAGCAGGGTGCATTGTTGGAGACGCTGGCATTAAAATGTTTTTGTCGTTTACCTGAAAATCAAATTCGCCTGGATATCCTATATTTTATCTAGCAGCCCTAAGACAAAGGCATAAGGAGGATAGTTTAATTTCACGCAGGTATTTTTCAGAGAGGGTAGACTTAGAAACTCAGAATTTGACTGTGTTGCATTGCATAACTGCTGGGAGGGAAACCGTTCCTTCAATCTTTTCAATTCATCTTCCGTGAATCCGCCACTCCAAAAGTCTTAAAAATATGGCCGAGGGGCACCTGGGTGGCCCGGTCGGTTAAGAGACTGACTCTTGATCTTGGCTCAGGTCATGATCTCACGGTTCGTGGGATCGAGTCCCAAGTTGGGCTCTGTGCTGACTGTGCAGCACCTACTTGGGATTCTCTCTCTCTCTCTGCTCCTCCCCTGCTTGCTCTCTCTTTCTCTCTCTCTCAAAAATAAATAAATAAACATTAAAAAAATATATATGGCTGAAAGGGTTGCACTGATTGGAAACATTGCTATCACAATATCCCAGTGCGTTTCTAAGTAAGCTGGGGAAATTGCCTTTTCAAAACGCTATTAGCATCAAGCAAAATGAGAAAAGAACTCACCACCCAGGAAATGCCCTGCACAGGCAGAGAGGAGAACAGGGGGGGAGAAACAAAACCGGGCGGTCTGCCCTAGAGCGCCCACCAGCTTTTGTCACCCCACAAAGCAGACTCCCCGCCCTCACCAGGCAAGCCTCACTTGCAGCCACATCAGCTCCTGGTGAAAAAACAGACCAGCCCTGGGAATACAGACAGTATCCAAATGTTGAACGTGGCTGCACTCACCACACAAAGGAGGCTAATGCTTTGTCGACAAAATAGCCAGCATCTAATGCGTGGCAGTGATCGGCAAACTGGTGAATTTTACAAGCGCATGTGCTGCTGTTTCAAATTTCCTGATGCCATTAAATGGTGCTGGCCGCACACAGCATGACCTTCCCTCGCATTTCCTTTGGCTTCCGAAGCTAATGGTTTTTCCCATTAGGTTTATAAAAGTAACGCACGCTCATTAACTGAAAATACGGAATGTTCAAAAAAAAAAAAAAATGGGAGGGCGCCTGGCTGGCTCCCTTGGTGGAGTGTGCAACTCTTGATCTCGGGGCTGTGAGTTCGAGCCCCATGTTGGGTCGTAGAGATGACTTACAGTAAAATCTTTAAAGCAAAACAAAACAAAAAAGACTGTTCAAAAAAAAAAAAACAAACCTCCACGGAAACTAGCTTGGCAAATAGTATTATAATCCCGCTACTCTACACGCTTTTAACCTCAGATGCATTTCTTTCCAGTCTTTTTAAAATGCTACTTTGGGGGCGCCTGGGTGGCTCAGTCAGTTGAGCTTCCGACTTCGGCTCAGGTCATGATCTCACGGTCTGTGAGTTCGAGCCCCGCGTCGGCCTCTGTGCCGACCGCTCGGAGCCTGGAGCCTGCTTCGGATTCTGTGTCTCCCTCTCTCTCTGCCCCTCCCCCGTTCATGCTCTGTCTCTCTCTGTCTCAAAAATAAATAAACATTTAAAAAAATAAATAAATAAAATAAAATGCTACTTTGTACAGTGTGTGCATTATGGTGTTCCGCTTTTTTTTCTTTTTTGCGCGTTGCTTGGCACTCTTTTTTTTTTAATTTTTATTTTATTTTTTAATGTTTATTTATTTCTGGGAGACAGAGACAGAGTACAAGCGGGAGAGGAGCAGAGAGAGAGGGAGACACAAAATCCAAAGCAGGCTCCAGGCTCCGAGCTGTCAGCACAGAGCCTGACACGGGGCCCAAACCCATGAACCGTGAGATCATGACCTGAGCTGAAGTCAGACGCTTAACTGACTGAGCCACCCAGGCGCCCCTATTTTTATTTTATTTTAGAGAAAAACGCACGCGTGAGCAGGGGAGAGGGCCAGAGGGAGAGACAGAGAGAAGATCAAGAAGGCTGTATGCTCACCACGGAGACTGATGCGGGGCTCGATCCCAAGACCTGAGCCAAAATCAAGAGTTGGACACTCAACTGACTGAGCCACCCAGGCACCCCCTAGAACTCTTTTTTAAACATCATTTAAGACAGCAACAGCATACTGGAAATAAAGTTAATGGTGAGATTAGCCAAGAAACGTATAACAATTGTTAAAAATAAGACGACATGCCCCAAACACAGTCGCTTATGCTAAGCCCCACATCACGAAACTGAAATTTAACTTAAGCCTCACATCGCCACACCGAGACCTAATTACAGTTTCGACGCTCCCAGAAATAGAATCTTCAACCAATCCATCGGGAATCGCCTGATCCGCCCAAGTCAGATAATCCACTGTCCGTCCTCTAAATGAAAGTGACCTCGGAACAGTCAACCTGATTTTGTGTCCAACATAACTTCCTCGTCCCCGCTCCTTTCTGCCCAGGACTCTTTCATTTTGCACAGCTCCTCGGCGCTCCTTTCTGTCTGTGAGATGGGCTGCTGCCTGACTCATGGAGGGCTGAATAAAGCCAGCAAGATCTTTAAAATTTCTTCGTTGAATTTTGTTACTTAACAGTCCTTTTAGGGAGGATCCATCCCCCCCCCCCAAATAAGCATGCATAGCTACGAAAAAAACTTCATCCAAGTTTTATTCTGATAACATCTTCCACTGTAGGCTGACGTCGTAAGCTCTTGAAGGGGTCAGTCTCATTTCCTACAGATTCCAAAACCTACAAGAAAATGAACAGTTTTCCTTAGGTTTCTGGAAATGGGCAGTTCCACTCTCTGTCCCTACTCTTGGGACAGGAATCTAGCTTCCTTGCCTAAAAAACTCAGAAAGCCACAAGCTTCTGTTCATGCACAAACATGTATAAATGTATAAATATGTATAAATGTATAGATACATTCGTAGGCCCCCCCGGGTGGCCCAGTAGGTGAAACATCTGACTCTTGGTTTCGGCTCAGGTTGTGATCTCACGGTTCGTGGGTTCCAGCCCCGAGTCAGGCTCTGTGCTGACAGTGAGGGGCTGCTGGGGATTCTCTCTCTCTCTCTCTTTCTCTCTCTGCCCCTCCCCAACCCATGTTTACACACTCTCAAAAAAAAATTGTAAAAAATGTTCACAATAGTGTTCTTTATAATTTCAAAAGTATAAAATAAAAACCACTAAATGTTCAGCATTAAGGGGGTTGGCTAAGTAAATTACAGAACATGGGAACAATCCTTTCAGTAATGGAAAATTATTCAGCCATCAAAAGCAATGATTACAAAGAACATTGATTGACATTAACTTTTTTCTTTTTTTTCCTTTTTCTTTTTTTCTTTTTTCCTTTTTCTTTCTTCTTCTTCTTCTTCTTTTTCTTCTTCTTTTTTTTTGGCTCTATGCCCAACATGAAGCTTGAACTCACAACTCTGAGGCCAAAAACAGGATGGTTGTTCTAGGGAGAGGCGCCGTTACCGATGTTAACTTTTTTTTTTTTTTAACTAAACACCCAAGTTTATGTAAACAAGTATTTAGTTATGTAAACAAGTAGTTAGTAAACAAGTATAAATTCGTACGTATTTATATGCGTACGAAGAGGGATTGGAGCCAGGCGATGAGATGATGGGTGTTCTCTTCTTTCTTTGATTCTGCCTTGTCTAAGTTGCCTTTCTTGTTTGTAGCAATCCTGTCTTTGTTGGTCTTCTCCCCTTACCTTCTGGTTGTGGGTCAGAGGGTTAAACTGCCAGACCCCTCGACGGGCACCCCAGCTTTCTCATTCTCTCCACACCAAGTACCCCACATGTGAGGGGGGATTTTGCCAATTGCAAAACACGGTTTGTTCTCGGGCAAGCTCCTCAGGTCCGTTAGCATTAGGAAATTTGCACAGACCTGGCTGTCGCAGCTCCTAACGGTGACTCTTGCTAATAGGACGTGGAAAAAAAGGAAAGAGTACAAACAGGGCAGAATTAGAGAGATGAGCTCTTGACTTCACAGGTCCACCCAAGATGGACGGGGGGGTGGCGGGGGGGGGGGGGGGGCGCGGCCCCTCCACCAGCACACGCCCTTGGATGGAGAACTCTGGGGAGATGCCCTTCCTCGGGGGGGACCCGCCCTCATTTCTTCCCTGTGCTTGCCACGTGGTTGCAAAGCATGTTGGGAGCTCACAAGGGGGTGATGGAGAATTGGGAGAAGCTGGAAAGAGTGAGGATCCCCGTGGGAGCGACTAAATGTGTTGGAGATCCAGGGAGGGTGAGTCAATAGCCCAAATTAATCCATCCAGAAAGAAAGCTGAGCCTGAACTGGACTTGAGTCACTGTTTTCGCCCCGGTGGATTATTCTGCTCTTTGAGGCCCGGTCCAGAAGCCTGGTGCCGCTAAGTGGCCCTTTACAACATGGAACCGAAATGCAGATACGGGCTAGGAGGGTTGCCTGGGTGGCCCGGTGGGTTAAGCGCCTCACTTCAGCACAGGTCCTGATCTTACAGTTCATGAGTTCGAGCCCCACATTGGGCTCTCTGCTGTCAGCACAGAGCCCGCTTCGGATCCTCTGTCCGCGTCCCCCCTACCCCCTCTCAAAAATAAACATTAAAAAAAGAGAGAGACTAGGAGAAAAAGGCACAGTTCTGGAATCAGAGCTCCGATCGGATGGGCCAAAACCCTGGGTAGGGTATGGAGAGGGAGTGTGTTGCAGTAGAAGGATCCAGAGCATCGGAGCCTGCCGGAGAGGTGGGCGTTTGAATTTCAGTCCCCCCCAGCCACTGGCCCCACCGCAGCTTGCACGATGGCTCCCCTGCCCTGTCCGAAGCTTACACAGTCCCTTCGCTGGGACCTCAGCTACCCATGCCCTTGACAGCGGCCCGAGGCCGGGACTTGCTTTGCTGAAACCCTGAGAGAAAGCTTTCTTGCCCTTTCCGCTTTGCCCCGAGCACACCTCCGCCCCCAAATCAGCTACACCCTCAGAATCTGGTTTGTAGAAAACCGTGGCGCCACACCCAGCCCTCTGGCAACACAGTAACTTGTGTGAGAAAAGGAACTTTGTGGTTACAAGGGGCTGGCTTGGGTGTTACTTTGTCACCAAAGACCAATCTGAAAAATGCTAACCCCTGAGACCAGTTTCTTACACTGTCAAAGACCTGTTTCATGTGGCTCTTGGGGGAAGGGAACGGTGATGGGCAGAGTGGTGTTGGGTACACATTTGGCTGAGAGACACGGACAAATAAAGGGTGATGCTGTCCCCTGGACGTTGTGTTCTGGCCACCGAAAGAGAGGGCCAGTGGCCAGAGTTTAAACTGTTTCTGTATCGTTTTCCCCTGAGTTGTAATTTCTCTCTCTCTCTTCCTTGGAAAATGTTGATCCAGAAACGAAACACTTAAAACACATGCATATATATTTTTTTTTTTTGATGTGTTGGACAAATGCAGTCTTCCTGTGGGAAAAGGCAGTCGCTGTGGTTGAAATGGCCTCTCTTTGCTCGCCTGAGTGTGACCTCTCTCGAGTGAGAGATTGCACAACACGTCCAGGCCTTGCACCCGGATTTATTTTTGTGCCAGCGGCCGAGCCAGGAAAACCTGCTTACGTTGCCTAGAGCTGTTTCTGCAAACAGGCAACCGGGGTTCTCTTGCTTCTGTCAAGTGCAAGGCTGTGTCCCAGAGACCGAGCACTTGGCCTACGTCGTGTTCCGCTGCGGGTGCCCCCCTGTCTGGCCCCTTCCTTGGGTGTAGGGGTAAGTCTTCCTTACCTCGGGCCAGGAGTTGGGACCTTGCTTTAGGGCTGGACTCTCTCCGGAGGGGCATCGCTGCTGGAATGTTCTTCTGATACCCCGGCCCTATCACAGTCTTCTGGGACCAAAATCTTTGCTGGCTCCCCATTGTCCATCAGTATCTCCACCTGCCTCCCTGGGTCTCGGGTGTGTGTGGGGGGAGGGGGAGAGGTTGTCCTCAATTACAGTGTGTTCCTGTCCCTAAGGAAATTCTGGCTACCCACTAGGAGCTGGACAGTCTCCTGCATTCCAATCTCCACTCAACCTTTTTCTAATCTCTGATGGTATGGAATCCCTCTCAACCATGACAACTGGCCCTCAACGTTCATTTTAATAAATTTTATTTCTCTTTATTTAAAAAAAAAAGTTTTGTTTTTTTTTTTTAAGTTTATGGATGTATTTTGAGAGAGACAGAGACGGTGTGAGCCAGGGAGGGGCAGAGAGAGAATCCAAAGCGGGCTCCACCTTGTCAGCACAGAGCCTGATGTGGGGCTCGAACCCACGAAGTTGTGAGATCATGACCTGAACTGAAAGAAAGAGTCGGGCGCTTGACCGACTGAGCCACCCAGGCACCCCTCATTTTAATACGTTTTATAGTCATGGTCGAAAACTTGGAAATTAAAGAAAATGGTGGCGAGAACAATAATACAGAAACAGAGCCGCTCCTCGGAAGGGAATCGCTGTTAACACGGGGTGTATTCTTCCCCTGCAGGTGGATAAGGACCAAACAGGATGATAGTCCTTAGGGCCGGCAGAGAAGAGTGAAGTAAAAACTATCAGGCAGAGTGGTACATTGGAAGACAACAATTGAGCATTCAAAACTGAAAATTGCCCAGAGAACTCGGTGCAACGATTCTATCCCTCAGAATCTATCCTCTGGAAATAATAGCAGAAATCTGCAAAAGTATTGCTTTGAGAGACCCCACTGCACCATTGTTTTCAGATGCATAAAAAAAATTGAAAACAATGTAATGGTCCATCAGTTGGGAATTCGTGTAAACAATTATGAAACATCCCTCCCATGAAATACTATGAAGTCAGTAGCAAGAAAACAAAGTGCAGTTGGGATATACAGCATGACCCAGATTGTGGTATTGTGATTTTTAAAAATGTGTCTTATTTTTACTTACCTAACGTCAATTCCAAAGTCCTTTGCTTCGATTATTGACACAAACAAAATGTTGCATGTGCATAGAAATATTTTTTGGCAGGGGCGCCTGCCTGGCGCTGTTGGTTAAGCGTCCAACTTTGGCTCAAGTCATGATCTCATGGTTCACAGGTTCGAGCCCTGCATGGGGCTAGGCCTGCTTGGGGTATTCTCTCCCCCCCGCCCCCCGCCCTTCCCCCAACTTGCACTTCCTCTCTCTCTCAAAATAAATAAATAAACAAAAAAATGTTTTTGGGCATGAGGCATGTCAACGATTAATGGTGGTTCTTTCAGAGGAATGAAATTTAGAGACATCCTTTTTTTCTTATCTGTACGTCCCTGTATTTTGTAATAATCAATAAAACACCGCAGTCCCGTGCTAGAATAACAATAACAAAAATTCATGACTGGAACTGTCCGAGTGTGATAACTTATAGGGACTTCAAAGGCCTTAAATCAAAAAAGGAAAGCCTCTGCACACACAAAACTAGATATTTAAAATTGCACCCAGAAGTAAGCGGTAACTGGATAAGTTATAAACAAGGAAATCCACAACGATGCTCAAATGAAGCAGCAGAATGAAGAAAAGCAATGAAATCCTAAAAAAAGAAAGAAAGAGAAAGAAAGAAAGAAAGAAAGAAAGAGGAAGAAAGAGAGGAAGAAAGAAAGAAAAGAAGAAAAAAAGAAAGGAGAAAGAAAGAAAAAAAGGAGAAAGAAAGAAAGAAAGAAAGAAAATTAAAGTAAGTAAAAAAACAATGAAATCCTAAGTGGAAAAATGAATAAAATAAGTAAAAAAAACAAGGAAATCCTAAGCGGACCTCGTAAACCATGTATGCCTCCTCGGGAACTCTGTGAATCGCATTGCTAGGCGTCAGAAGACCTGGAGTTGTGAAGGGGTCAATGCTGACCCTCTGGGGTCAGCTGCCCCTTCCCCGTACCCCCCTGACACCCTGCCCCCCTCCCCGCCACACTTAGGGCACGTTCTTTGATGCATCGTTTCTACTTGGCTAAAGCAGTCACCCGCTTCTGGTCACCACCCCCCCACCCCCCACCCAATCATCGCTCGCCTGGACAAGAATTTGCATCAAGATACTGGAAAGGTAAACAGCAGCCCTGTGCTTGCCCCCGCACAGATAACGGGAGGGAGCGGTGTGGACTTTCTCAAGAGGCCTTATCACTACCGGCCGGGCATTCGCACCGCGGGCCTCCCTCATCTGCAATCGCTCAAACGGTCAGTTCTCCAGCCACAGAGACTTCAAAGAACAGCGTCATCGGCCGAATCGACCTGGCACAGTCTACACCAGCTGGGAGCCTCAGCAGGGCCCGGGTTCCCTAATTTAAACCCGAAGTTAGTGCATGCACTTCCCAGTCCGTAAAAGAGACGCCATTTTCTCCCGGCGCCTCTGCGAGCTTTCAGACTCGTACTTTCTATGGTGGATGGTCTTTTCTGGGTCGCCCCCCACCCCTGCGGCTCTAGTCCCTTCCTTAACGAAGCATTGGCTCAAAGGGCAACACTCAACGTTCACCGCAGAGACTTTTCCAGATGCTGTGCCTTGTAGGGCTGGTTGGCTCAGTTCCCAAGGCTTGCTAACGATCTAGGCAAAAGCAAAGACGAGAAGCAAACCGGCTTCCCGAGGCTCGTCGGGCACGGCCAGAAGCTACAAAATTAATTGATGGCATTTTCTCAAGGGAGCCGCTGAGAATCCCTTGCAAGTTTCTGGGTTGCGGGGCTTTCGCAGATGCTAAGTCGGGCTCAGCCCCGGCCCTTTGAGGCTCATTCATTCAGAGGCCGGGGGTGGGTCACCATCCTGCTCGTCCTCAAAGCACCTGCTTTTGCAGAGGCAGAACGTTGTGTCGAGTCGGGGTGGACGCGGCCCTAGGATGTTTCCGACCCTGGAGTCACTCACTGCCTGGACGTCAGTGGTGTGCGTTGTACAAGTGGGATCGTAACCTGGAGAGAGAGGCTGCAACTCAGATCCAGAGACAGGAAGCCACCAAAGTGTCGGCTTTGCTGTGACTTGGGCACGTACCTCTATTGTAGTGTTTCTCAGCGGGGTGACAGGAGACTCTCTATACACCCCCGCGGGCACCCCACGGTCACACTCACACACACGCACACACACACGCTAAGCACCCCCGTAATACTCATCCCGCACACGTAAGGTTTCTGTGCTCGGGTAAGGCGCTGTCTCGTGATTGACGACGCCCAGCAAAGGCTCTGAGAAGTCCTGCAGTCAACAAACTTGAGCAGCTAACTTGCTCACCGGCTGTGCCCCGCGTCCACTGGGCCACAGCCCGTTTCCACACAACCTCTGCGGTTTCGGTGAAGCGCACTGAGCCCATGCCAGTGGTACAGCTGCCTGCCTTCGTGGACTTGCCCTTGGTTTTCAGACTTTAGCGACTAGTCATTCTTCTGCACCCAAGGGCCTCTGGCCCCTCATCTTCCGCCGTGCTCCCAGTCGGGCCAGTTGGGCCCGTGTGTGAGGTGGGGATCAGTTCCTCTCTGTGTTTAGTGGTGGAGGGAGGCCTCATAACTCTGACGGAAAGACCCGACCTTCCCCAGCCTCCAGGTCACATAGGTGTGCACCTTGTTTCTTTGGTAACAGTGTCCCTGCCCCGCTGAGCCTCCCGCCCCTGGTAGGAGAATGCGGAGAATCCTGCTGGGTGCTTTCCTCCCTGCTTCCTCTTTCTGAGGCCAGGTTCCACTAGTTTAACTGGATGCCTGATGGTCGCACTGGTGTGGTTACCCCGGGGGGCCAATGGCTTTGCGGGCATCAGTCCGAGGTCCTGTCTCTCCTGGTGGTGGAAAGAGGTCTCCTCTGCCTTCTGAGGACAACCAGGATCTAGAATCAGGATCAGGAAACCAGGATCTAGAATCAGGATCAGGAAACCAGGATCTAGAATCAGCATCAGGAAACCAAGATCTAGAATACCCACTGTTGAGCAGCACGTGCAGGCACTTAAATCTAAGGTTGGGGCGTCTGGGTGGCTCAGTCGGCTAAGCGTCCGACTTCAGCTCAGGTCATGATCTCACAGTCTGTGAGTTCGAGCCCCATGCCAGGCTCTGTGCTGACAGCTCAGAGCTGCTTCTGAGCCTGCTTCGGATTCTGTGTCTCCCCCTCTGCCTGCCCCTCCCCCACTCATGCTCTGTCTCTGTCTCAGAAATAAATAAAAATTAGAAAAAAAAAAATCTAAGGTAATCGTGGATCCTCTCCGAAACAAGAAGAAAAATTAAAAAATAGACTTGGAATTTATAGAAGAGTCACTCCCACCTCATGGAGCAAACACGAAGGGGCCCGGGGCACCTGCTTGTACACCTACAAGTGAATTTCCGGGTCCCTCATTGGAGGCCTTGTCCCTGCGCGGGCGCTGCTGTTGGACAAAAGCCATGCTGCGTCTCAGCAGCCCATGCAGGTGGGACTCCTGTCCCACAGGGCACGGAGCAGACCCCAAGTCGGGTTACCTGGCAGCATCAGAATGTGGTCGGAAAGCACCTGTTTCCCCCTTCCAGGACCGCGGAATATCTCGGTTATGAAAACAGGTACCATCTCGGAAGATCGTAATAAACAATGTATCATATGTGGGATTAAAGAAATGGAGTCAAGATTCATACAGCCTTGGCTTTTATTTCCAATTCAGAAGCTTCTAGGGGCGCCTGCGTGGCTCAGTCGGTTAAGCTTCCGACTTCGGCTCAGGTCATGATCTCACGGGTCGTGAGTTCGAGCCCCGCGTCGGGCTCTGTGCTGACAGCTCAGAGCCCGGAGCCTGCTTCGGATCCTCTGTCTCCCTCTCTCTCTGCCCCTCCCCTGCTCGTGCCCTCTCTCTCCTTCTCTCTCTCTTTCAAAAATAAATAAACATTTAAAAAAGAGAGAGAGAAGAAAACATAAAAAAAAAAAAAAGAAGCAGCTTATAAATCTGTGACCTGGAAATGCCACCAGCCTCGATTTTCTTGGCTGTAAAATGGATATTCTTTTATACTAGTTCCTCCTCTGGTTGTCGTAAGGAGTAAGTGAGATAAAGATGTAAACTCTTAGCCGGGGCCCATCACACAGTAAGTAAGTGCTTAATAAACGTCAACGTCTGTACATGTGTCGCTCATACACAGCACATAGCAGGTGTCAGCCAATGCTTCTTCTCGCGCGTTCGTAAGTAGGAAAACACTCGTAGAAAGAGCCAAAGCCCCCGCCTCCGCCGTCCTACCAACACGCTGACATGTAAAAGCTTGTTTGTTTTTCTGTTGATATTTTTGCATTTGTAATTCACGAATGGATGAAATGATCCTGTCTGCCTTTTCCCTTAGGAAGGCCAGAAGTTAACTCGATGCTGTGCTTACTCACTCTGCTCTTGGTGTGACGTGCCCTGAACACCACGGGATGGCATCACAATGAGACTAGTCTGGCATCCACAGGGCATCCAGAGTCAGCGGCCCAGGTGAACTGGCCACCAGCCGGGAGCCAGGACCCTGTCTGGGGTTAACAGAGGTTTTCAGAGGCGGGGAGAGGACCCCCACGGCTTCTCTTTGTTTTGTGCTAGCTGCTTGGAGCCGGTTGGAGGACACAGGGAGAGATAATGGCCCAAGGAAGGCTTAGGCGTCCCTTTGTTATGGTTTATTTCAAGCCACTTGAAGAGGCCCTTTATTCTTCTGTTTGCTCCTAGTACTTCAAAGCTGGAGGGTTTTTCTTAGGGGGGGAAGAGGGGGTTATCTGAGTCCTAAGCAGCTGGAGGGAGGTTGGAGGTTGCCAGTGAATGGGGCTCAGGGGCTGCTTATTGAGAAGCAGTCAAAAAAGAGAGGAAGAAAAAAGAAACAATTTGGTTTTGTACTTACAGCGAGAGCCGTCCATCTCCTACTTGAGTTGCTAAGACTTGGTGAAGACAAAGATGGTTTGCGCTTCTGGAAACAAATCATCTCACACTTTCCCGTGCCAATCCATCACCTGGGAGGCTTTTTCCCAAAGGCCCTTCCCAGGACTCACTGGAGGGGGCATGGATATTGAGCTGGGCCTGGAGGAATCTGCACTCTAATCTGAGTGCCCTGGGAAGGAGGTGTGGGGCCTCCCCCTGACAAGGCTTCCGAAGCCATTAGAGAAATTCGGGGTCCTGGGGCACCACGGTTGCCTGGCCAAAGGCAGCTGGTAATATTCTGGATTACTTTGCTCCGGATTCCTAACCCCCTGTGGCTCCCTGGGAAATTCTTGCCCCTGTTAAGGGGGAGATGGAACAAAGGAGGATAAAAAAAAAAAAGGAGCCAGACCCTTTTATCCCTTCTGGGAAAATAGCTCCAAAGCACTCTGGCCAGTTGGCTGGCTGAAGTCAGGCATGCAGTGTTGAGCCCCGGGAAGGAGAAAATGGAATTGGTCCCCATAGGTAAAGGACTCAGGGCACCGGCCTCAGGATCCCTGGAAGCGAATTAGCCCTGTGAGCCTGCAGTGTCCCCAGATGGAAACGTACTCCCCGCAGCAGCCCTCCGCTCAAAGGGGCCAGGGCCTTGCCTGAAGCGTCAGGCGGGTGTGTGCAGCACAAGTGCCTGTAACAACAAGTGTTCGAAGTTTCAAGAATAACCCGAAAGATGCAGGGTTCAGGAAAACAAAAGCAGAGACTGGCTGCGCTCACATGGAGGAAAGATACAGGGCTCCCTGCACAGGACGAGGTTGTATTTACACACATATTCCACCGTGAACTTTGTCACGATTACGAATAAGACGACGCGGTTCACATGAGACTTTGATACAATTTTCAATTCGCTGCTCACCAGGGCAAGGGTGAGACTCTTCTGTGACAAGTGGGTAGGGGCAGTGTGTCTCCCAAGGGTTTCCCTGACCTGATGTGTTGTTTGGCAAGGAAAGGATTATACGTATGATAAAGTTGTCTGGAATATGTCGGGGCGAAACGGAGTGAAACACAGTTCCCTGTGGCAAAATTCTCTTTGTTGATTACAAATCTGTGGACTTGGCCACCAGACCCTCCGGCAAAGATTGTCGTTGAAAATTAGCGTGTGCTGAACAGGGTCGGGGAATGCTGGGTCACACGAGTCCAAGGGTCCCCTTTGACGCTTACAACCCACAGGTGGCATAGAAGAGGAAGTCACACAACTGTCCCCATTTAGGCAGCAGGATGATAGATGGGTGTCTGAAGAATTGAAGCACCTATTGACATACTAAAATATTAAATGTAAAAAAAAAAAATCCATACCTACCAGTCACAAAATAATTGCCTCTCCAGAGAACACAAGGGGTGGGGGGGAGAAAGAAACTGGTTTGACGTGTCCTCAAGAATCTAAAGACAAATCGGCCCGACTCAGTCTACAAACGACAAAAAGAAATTGCACTACCCTTAGCCAAAAAAAGACCCCTTTTCGATAGCTAGCAAGTCTCGTTGAAGGAGAAAATAATCATGGTGACCTGTGATTTCTGTGCCCTGAGCCTCAGGAAATCATACATGGTAACACCAGGAGTGATCGGACCCCAGAGAGTTAGGGGGCCGCCCCTCAGAAGAGCCCAGACAGCACCATTTCACCTACAGAAGCAAGACTTGAGATTCCAGGGAAGCCAGATAAGGGAGGCAAGAATGGGCACCCAGCCCTCATTTTGCCAGGGAGACGAGAATATTAGGGCTAGCTTAAAAGTAGGCAAAGCACTTCATTTTGCAGAGCCTCTGATCTCTTCTTTACCTTATCATGTGAACACGTGGCAGAAAGTCGACACTGGTATGACTTAAATATGAAATCGTATTTTACTGTAAGGGAGAAAAGCTATTTGCTGCCGAGGACATTTAATGTCAATCTCAAAGCAGGAATTAGCATCATACTTATAGCTGAGATGCTCTAGGAAGACCCATTAAAGAGAAGACCAGAAAAGGGTTCACACTGTCACCACGCCTCTTCAGCACGGTCCTAGTAAAGGACTGGTATCCAACATATACAAAGAACTCTTAAAACTCAACAATAAGAAAGCAAACAATCTGATACAAAAAAACAAAAACAAAAACAAAAAAACAAAACAAAAAAACTAACAAACAACAAAAAAAACCGCATCAAAGACTCTAACAGACACCTCACCAGAAAGTATACGAGAGCTCTGGATTTTCTCTTCAATATTTCTGCGACCCTAAAGCTGCTCTAAAAAAATAAAGCCTTTTGTAAAGCAGCTTGTGAGATGCAATTAAATGAGTGTGAACGAATTCTTAACCTCCTTCTTTCTTTTCAGTTTAAAAAAAAAATCTTTTTAAGTCTGCTTATTTATTTTGAGAGAGACAGAGAGAACGTGACGGGGGAAGGGCAGGGGCGGGGGCGGGGGGAGAGGATCCCAACGGGGCTCGAGGCCATCAGAGCACAGCCTGGCGTGGGTCTTGAATCCACAAAACCATGAGACCGTGACCTGAGCCGCTATCGAGAACTGGGTGTTCAACCAACTAAGCCACCCAGGTGCCCCTTCCTTATTTTTAAAAAATTTTGTTTATTTATTTTAAGTAAGCTCTACCCCCAACCTGGGGCTCAAACTCACGACCCCGAGACCAAAACTCACATGCTCTTCTGAGACAGCCAGGTGCCCCTATTAACCTCATTATTAATGGCAATACCTAGTAGGAGAAAGAGCCACTGTATGTATGTGTCTACAGATGTGTGTATGTATATATAATTGTGTATATTATGTGTATATGTGCAAATATATCTATAGCATATGCCCAGGAATACACTTATCAAAACAACGTGAGATTCCATTCAAGAAAAACAAAAATAGACTATAAAGGACATCTAAAGATAAACAGGATGGGGGCACCTCGGGGTTCAGTCGGTTAAGTGTCCGACTTCAGCTCAGGTCATGATCTCACGGTTCATGGGTTCGAAACCCACGTCAGGCTCTGCGCTGACAGCTCAGAGCCTGGAGCCTGCTTCGGATTCTGTGTCTCCCTCTCTCTCTGTCCCTCTCCCGCTCACGCCCTGTCTCTCTCTGTCTCTCAAAAGTGAATAAAAATGTTTAAAAAACTGGAGAGGTTTAGAGAACGTTGTCATGTTCCTGGAGGATAAACTTATCAGTTGCAAATATGACATTTTTGCCCCAAATTAACTACAGGTTCAATGAAAGTCCGCGAACTTTCTAATGGATTTTTTTTTCTAATATTGAATGACAATTCCAAAGATAATCTGAAGAAAGTAAATAGGTAGGTGTACTCATTTCTTCTAAAGATGAGTGATGATGAAGGCTTTAACACATACGATAAACCTACAGTAATTAAAAAATAAACACATCTAAAGAAAGGAAACTGTTCTGACAGAAGACGCAGAAGGCTTCGCATGAAAATGGTGATATAATAAATTCGTGGGGAAAGAGTCATTTGATAAATAGTACTGAGAACATGGTTAGCTGTAGGAAATCAAATAGCGATGTCTTGATTAAGGAGATAATAGGGAACCCATTACCCAGCTTTCTGGCCCTGCTGAAAACAGCTGACCAGTATCTGGTTAATGCGTATTTAGGGGTTGGGTCCCGCCTGTGCTCATGAATTCCTTAGACCGTGTTATCCATGGAATATCTTATCTTGTTCTCCACCCTGCTTTCCGCATCTGCTTGTTTGTAGTCTTGGGAACGCCTTGTTTTTTTGCGCGCTTCCTATATGTTCTTACCCGCACGTAGCCGCTGACGTATTACGCAATGTTTTCCCTAACGTATGCCTAATAAATACGGGAGCTTGAGAAGGAGACTTCCCCTAGCCTCCCTCTCACCTCTCTTGACTTGCACGGAGTCTTGAGTGATCCTCTCTGCCGCCAAACCCGCAGTTGGTGACCCTGACCCGATATGATAGCCTTGAGAGGAAAATTTTCAGGTGGCAGAATCGAGAAGTTCAGAAGAAAGTGAAACTGTCCAGACTCCAGACAGTCCTTACCCAGATAAGGGACAGCAGTACCTGTTGGGGAGAGCTGCCAATGTGTCTAGTTTTCAGTAAGAGTATTGCTCTCCTCTTTCTTAGCCATGGGCCAAAAAATGACAAAGGAACACGATTGTATTTAAAAACCTTACAGCAGCTTTTAAAAGGTGGCTCATTGTCCTGTTACAAAAGATCAGTTAAGTAAACTGTTAGGAACAACACGAGGTGCCCGTGCCTGGTTCCCGACCGTGGTACAGTTGACTTAGACCTATGGGAACCAGTGGGGAAAAATTTTAAGAAGAAAACATGAAAAAGTAGAGAAGGTTCCTGCTTCCATTTTAATGACCTGGAGTTTAGTCTGTACGACATTATGTTTGTTGTACGTGTCTCCAGAGGGGGAACAAATTAAGAAGGAAAGCCTGACCCCCACCTCTCTTACGGCACCTCCTACAAAGGAGGATGACTTCTCTCCAACGCCCTTCCTGTCCCTATTCCTCCCGATCACTTAAAGCCAATACCTAGATGGGAAGGAAGCAAACCATCAATTAAGCGGTGATGTTTACAAGAGGGATACGCTGCTGGGAGTTTCATGCATTCCCCGTCATTACCACTGCTGGACATCAGCCTAGGCACGAGTCCCTCCTTTTTACTGTCTTTGAGGAATCGAAACGAAGTGTTGCTGAGAATGGTGTCCAAAGCTCCTTTCCTAAGGGGAACGGTTATGAAATGACCCCTTGGGATTGGAAGGCATTAGCAAAACCCACACTTTCCCTCCCTGAGCATGCTGTGTGCACTTGAGACTATCAAGAAGATTGTGCCACACAGGCAATTCGTAATCGAGACTTGGGTATTCCGATAGGAGTAGATTGCAGCAGAGGACTTCTGGGCAAATTGATCATGAGGAAGATGTTCAAGTTGTATTGCAGCAACTGGCCAAGACAACGCTAGTGTGGACTGCCAGGCCGTTCTCTCTGGCATCCATACTCAAGCCAGAGGTATCACTGAGTTCATCAGGGCGTGCCAGCATATGGGAACTGAGATACATAAATCACAAATTCTTGCGGCTATTATGAGGCCATCTCTAGCCTCTCATGCCTGCTTTAAATGTGGAAAACCAGGGCGCATACAAAAGGACTGTCACCAACGAACAAGGGGACAAACCAATAAAGATGGTCCCAGAAGTGGAGAAGGAAAACATTGGGCAGATCAACACGCATCTAAATTTGATAAGGAAGGACGACCCCTCTCGGGAAATGAGGAAAGGGGCATCAGCTCCCACGCCCCCAATCCCAAGTGGTGGGAAACCACTATTCCTCAGGTTTTCTTAAACCAGGTCAAGGATGGGTTACAGACTTGGGGGCAGCCACCACAGGAAGTGCAGGATTGGATTTATGCACCACCTCGGA